GATCACTCCCCCCCCCCCCAGCCTTAACTTTGAAGCGTCAAACTAAATCTTTATTAAATCTGACACTTTTACCAAGAACAGCACCAAGTTTTGAAGAAGAAATCTGAGCAACAAAGAAAGCTCCTGAAAATTACGGTGCACAAGTTTCTGACAGAATGGAGAGAAGTAAAGAGAATATAAATAAGGTCGGGGTGGTGGGGGGGAGGCAAAGTGAAAAACTAGCAGAGGCCCATGCTAATGTGGCCCGGGCATGGCTGATCCAACAAAGGTTACTGTGGAGACCAACAATGGGCTCTGAGGGGCCCCGACGGCTGAGAGGAGCCAGAGAGGAGGGGGGCTGGGACCTCCAGAAAAACAATCTACGTCTCGAAACATCCCAACTGAACTTTCAGCTGGAAAACTGTCTGCAGGAATTCCATTTAAACTGAAAACACTGCACTTCCTGTTCAGTATTTACACAAGGACAACCCCCACCCCTACACACAGCTCAAACCTACAAGTGGAGTGAATTCATGACACAGCAGGTCAGTGCTGTACGACACCATCAAACCACAATGTGTCTGTTCCAGCTGCAGTTCTGATGCATCAGGTTCAGTTGGGGCTGAAATCGTTTATAAATCACAAACACATTCTTCTACCGAGCTGCAGTAAAAACACTAAAGTTGATTTTAGGACAAGGAAAACAGAAGAGTGGGTTCTCTCGAACAATCAGGACCTACAAGCCAGTTTTAACCACCAACGTTTAGACTTCAACCCAATTATGGTCCTACAGTAGCACCGGAGCAAACACCTGTTCGTCAGAGGTTATGGAGACGGACCCCTGTCCACGGACCTGAACCCCCAGAAGGAATGCCAGTCTGACTTTAAAACCAGAATTTTAGACTAAAGCCTCCAGTATACTTGCACGTACGTGGGTCCGCATACGTCCGCGCGTACCGAATTAGTCAATGCGGATGCCTGCAGGGCATGTCTGTGCAAAGCTCAATTCTTACGACCGCGTACTCTGTGTCTGATCTGGCCTTTTTTTTTTTTTTTTTTTGCCAAGAGGCAAGTGATCTCTTCCTCCTCCATTGACGCCATGACTGAAATGGTGAGAAATGAAGGAATTTGTCACGAGGATTAAAATCGGGTCCAGCGTGGCTGCGGGAGGGTCTGGAGATTTCCCGTTGGGCTGGTCTGATGTGTGGGCTGCAGGGCCAGAGCTCCCCATTTTTTTTTTTTTTTTTAGATCTTTTTATTAACAACATATAAACACAGAACACCGCTGCGGCTGGGGCTGCCAGCTCTCTTTTTTTTTTTTTCCGACCTCTCAATCAATCCAGTGGCGTGTCACCAAACGACCAATCGGCGACCTCAATTTGTCCCGAAGGTAAACGCCCCTCGTCTGTGGAGCTGCTCAGGGTGGACGCTCGAGCATGAAATCTCAACCCCTGCATACGTACGTGCAGACGTACGTACCTGGGAGTATACTGGAGCCTTAAGACAGTAGGGCACACTTAAGCCCCTTATCCACGGGTCTTTTTGGTACTCCTATGTAACTAGTTGTGGCCGATTGCAGGATTTATCAACAATGCCTTTAACGGTGGAACCCACCCCATTTTTGGGACCTAAATCACTGAGGTCCCAGGTCTGGTTCTTTTAGGGTCTAGTTGTGACATCAGCGCACTGTAGGTCACTGATTGGTCAGGGGGCGTATTCATTGGTGGAGGGCGGAGATTCAGTCTTCCACCGGAAATCACAATCCACCATTTTCTTTTTCACCCGCATAACAGACAAGAAATCGGAGGAGCTTATTTTGGAATATTTTATAAGGTAAAACAAATAATCATGGCACAACCGTGGTCGAATGCTGAAGTTCAGGCATTTCTCTGTTTGCTGGCCGATGAACAAGTGCAGCGCGAGCTAGATGGAACGAAACGAAATAAAAAGATTTTTCAAGAGGTGTCTGCGCAGATGGAGGTGCAGGGCTTCCATCGCACACCAAAGCAAAGAGGAAAGCTTAAAAAACTAATAGTTGATGGTGAGTGTATTTTATTTACTTTAAGCATATTTCCTTTTCCTCATGCAACCGTTTCTTTGCGTTTTCTGAAAGTACTCTGAACAAACGAGGCTGACGCGGTTACGTCGTCATTAGTTAGCATCATTGCTAACTGTACTCTGTTGCTGTTTTTCCACTCTTATTTTGATGCAGAAAGTCCCACTGAACATGAAGGTTCGCCAGATTCTGCTTTTGACTGTCCAGTCCTCCCCGCTTCTGACCCTTCCCGACCACACCAGCTCCGAGTACATGCATGCCACCGGGCAACACGCAGCAGAGCGGCACCGAACAGCACCGGTTAGTAGGTAAGAAGCAACAATCGTGTTTAACATCACATTGATCATGTTGATATGAATGTTGTTTTGTTTTTGTTGTAAAACACCTTGCATGTATTCAAACTACTTGTTTATTCAGTTGTAATGGATAAATGTTAAATTTAGTTATTCATTTATTACTTAAACTTTCATTTATGAAGTTTATTATTGAAATTATACAGGGTGTAGTGATTTTTGTTCAGATTAACGACGCTCTGTTCTTTTTCTAAATTAGCACAAACCGTTGTAAATGACTACATGTAGTTTATTTATGCCCACCTGCTTACTATCATTAAAGTACTAGACTGCTTTATGAACAGAATCATTTCTGATCTTGTAAACAAACACCTTTTGAAATTAGCAGGAACTCAAAATTAGCAGTAACTTAAAAACTCTACCTGTACTTCATCATCTAACAGCCATTTTCTTGTGTGTTATTCCTAGGCAATAGAAAGCGCAGATCAACAAGTGCAGCAGAGAGCTTTGTTTCTGCACATACAGAACAAGAGGAGATGAACCGGAAGCAGAGAGAGGAACACTTCCATTTTATTTGTGAGGATGTCAAAAAAGCAAGGCAAGAAGAAGCTGCGGAGAGGCAACGCCAAGCTGCAGCAGCGAGGAAGCAGGAGAAGGCAATTAGGAGGGAGGAGATGGCCTTGAGGAGAGAGGAAGCAGATGTTCGCAGAGAGGAAGCAGCACAGCGAAGGCAGGAGGCTGAACAGAGTGCTGCTTTCAGTCAGGCACTCCTTGGGGTGCTGGAATCCATTGCCCGTTCCATGGCAAACAGACATGTTTAAAAATATTTAGAGTAGATCATAGTTATCTATAGAAATGTAGATCCTGCAAGGTAAGCCCACAAATAGCCAAACGTAGCTTGTTAAGTTTGCATATATAATTAGTGTATAATTGTTTTTTTTTGTACAGGTCTTTATTTCTAATAAAAGAAACATTTTCAAGTCTTGAGCTTCCATCTGATCATCAAAAGTGAAGTGCTTACAGTGTTTTTTTACGTCAATAGTGTAGCTGCGTGGTAAGCATAAACTCTGAAAGAGTTGTTA